TGCCCCCCATGGCGGTCAGCAGGCACGGCTCCGTGGGGTGGTAGGCCAGTGACTGCACCACGCCGGACCCACAGGCAGAGGCCAGAGCCAGGGCACCCCTGCCAGGACTATGGTCTGACCCTCCACACTGGACACGCCATCTCTGGCCTCATCCAGCGTCTGCACTGGCTCAGGCCTCCGTGAGCGGCAGTCCCAACAGCGGATACTGGAATCAATAGAGCCGGACGGGATAACTGTTGGCCTCTTCTTAAACTGCACCGTGTTCACCTTCCCTGCGTGGCCCGGAATTTGTGCACGACCTGCCCCGATGCCACATCCCACAGGACCACCGCCTTGTCTCCGCCGCCGCCGGAGCAGAGACTGCTGTTGTCAAAGGAGCCGGCGGCATCCAGCACCTCGTAGCCGTGGCCGCTGTACGTCCGCAGCAGCGTTCCCCGAAGTGGGTTCCACAGTTTCAGGGTCTTGTCGCTGCCGCACGCCAGGCAGTAATTGCCATCCACGTTAAATCGTACGGCTGGCACTGCCCCTTGCCCGCAGTCCAGAGTCTTCAACCGTTTCTGCGGCAGCTCCGGTGGCCGCGGCTTTGGCTCAGGGAAAGCCATGGTCCCAGGGCCCCTTCCTCGGCGCTTTAAATCGGTGTGCACGGAAGATTCCGCGCCTTGGAAACCCACGCTTGGGTGTAACCCTATTACTGTCCTCCCTGACCTACTTCCTGTTTCTCACTTCCGGGCTCATCATTTTGGCTCGGGTTAGAGCTATTCAAGTCCGCTTTCAGGTTATTTTCCCAATTTCCCCTTTGCAAGGAAGATTTCTCTGGGTAGGGGGAGTCCAAGCCTCCGTCCTGAGGCTGAAATGTCTTTAAGAACATACAATGATAAAGGAAAAATGAACACAAACCTGATTTGAGATGGATATAATTTTGTAGTGTTATTTACAACTTAGTTTTGGAGATAAATTGATTTATACTTGTTCTTTACTTTAAGTTCAGGAGTACACGTGCAGGCTTGTTATAGAGGTAAACTTGTGTCACGGGGGTTTGTTGCACAGAGTATTTTGTCACCTGGTATTAAGCCTATTATCCATTATATTTTCTGATCCTTTCCCTCCTCCCACTCTCCACCCTCTGATGGGCCCCTGTGTCTATTGTTCCCCTCTATGTGTCCATGTGTTCTTACAATTTAGCTCCCACTTTTAAAGAAGAACGTGTGGCATTTGGTTTTCCGTTCTTGTGTTAGTTTGCTAAGGATAATAGATCCCAGTTCCATCCATGTTCCTGCAAAGAACGTAATCTCATTCTTCTTGATGGCTGGTGCTAGTCCACGGTATGTATGTACCACATTTTCTTTGTCCGTCTACCACTGATGGGTGTTTAGGTTGATCCCATGTCTTTGCCATTGTGAACAGTGCTTCAATAAACATACACAATTTATATTTCTTTGAATATATAACCAGGATTGGGATTGCTGAGTCAAATGGTGTCGTATTTTTAGGTCTTTGAAGAATTGCCACACTGTTTTTCACCATAGTTGAGTTAATTTAAACTCCCATCAACAGTGTGTAAGTGTTCCATTTTCTCTGCAACTTTGATAGCACCTGTTATCTTTTGACTTTTAAATAATAGCTATCCTGCCTGGTGTAAGATGTTATGTCATGTGGTTTTGATTGGCATTTCTCTAATGATCAATGATACTGAACTTTTTTTCATACTTTCATTGGCTGCATGTATATCTTCTTTTTAAAAGAGTCTGTTCATGTCCTTTGCCCACTTTTTAATGAGGTTGTTAGATTTTTCTTCTAAATGTGTTTACGTTCTTTATAGATGCTGGATGTCAGATGAACAGCTGCAACATTTTTCTCCCATTCTGTAATGTTGTCAGTTTACACTGTTGATAGTTTCTTCTGCTGTCTGAAAGATGTGTAGTTTAAGTAGGTACCATTTGTCAATTTTCTTGTTGAATTTGCTTTTGGCATCTTTGTAAATAAACTTTGCTTATTCCTACATCGAGAACGGTATTGCTTAAGTTGTCTTCCAGGTTTTTAAGCTGTAGGTTTTACATTAAAGTCTTGAATTTATATTGATTTGATTTTTGTATGTTACAAGGAAGTGGTATAGTTTCAATCCTCTGCATATGGCTAGGCTTATTTCAGCAGTATTTATTGAACAAGAGTCCTTTCCCCATTGCTTTTGTCAGCTTTGTCAAAGATTAGATGGTTATAGGTGTACTGCCTTATTTCTAGGCTTTCTATTCTGTTCCATTGGCCTATGTGTTTGTTTTTGTAATAGTACCATGCTGTTCTGATTACTGTGGCCCTGTAGTATAGTTTGAAGTTGGGTAGCATGATGCTTTCAGCTTTTTTCTTTTTCTTAGTATTTTTTTTTAACAGGCCAATACCACCTAAATGGTTTTATTTTTGTCATTGACAACAAGCACAACACTGCAACTACATCATTTTGTTTAGTTTCTTAAATATTACTTAAGTATGTATTAAAAATATGTTTACATTTTAAAAATGTCACACATTAAAGGGATCCCCTGTAAACACAATCCCTGCTCAACATATTTTCCTGCTTTGTTTCATACATAAATAACTTAGTCTACAAAGTCATAAATAATACTATCAACTTTTATGGCCTGAAAGTATATACAAATTTTGGAGTTTGACGAAAGTGTTATGATTTTATAAATAACAGACAGTATTTGCAGTGTTTTATTATCTATCAGATGACTTTTCAAATTCCTACTGCCTCCCTCAACCTGTTCTACCAGTAACAGACCTTCCAGTTTAATTGGTAAAGATGCCAGGCATTTAAAAAGTAAAAATGGACAAAATTCTAGATTAAAAAAAATAGCTGAGAAGGTTGCTATTTAAATATGACTAAATCTTATTAAAACCACTTCAGTTTCTCTAGAAAACAAAACAAAACAAAATGCTACTGAAGAGGGAATGCTTGTATAATCATTTAAATGGTACCTAACAAAATCTAAAATTTAAGAAGTAATAAAATCAGATTAAATCCATATTAGTTTTGCAGAAAAACTCCACTGAGATTCTGTTACAGGAACAGAATCAATACTATTCTACATTTTCTAAAATTTATCTTTGAATCTTCATTTTGACGAGTTAAAATTTTAAGGGCAAAATCAAGACACACAAAATAATTCCAAAAAGCCATATTTACAATCCGTTAAGAAGGTTTAAAAAAAAGCCATACTTATGATTCCTAATATAGAATATCTGATTGTTTCATTATGTTTAATGACTGTCCTTATTTCTTTTTTTCTTTTTTTTTTTGAGACGGAGTTTCGCTCTTATTACCCAGGCTGGAGTGCAATGGCGCGATCTCGGCTCGCCGCAATCTCCGCCTCCTGGGTTTAGGCAATTCTCCTGCCTCAGCCTCCCGAGCAGCTGGGATTACAGGCACGTGCCACCGTGCCCAGCTATTTTTTTGTATTTTTAGTAGAGACGGGGTTTCACCATGTTGACCAAGATGGTCTCGATCTGTTGACCTCGTGATCCACCCGCCTCGGCCTCCCAAAGTGCTGGGATTACAGGCTTGAGCCACCGCGCCCAGCCGACTGTCCTTATTTCTTCAAAAAACAGCAAATATATTTTGAAACACATCACCCATCTAATAATTTATTAAATAAGCATTCAAGATTTATTAGGTAAGACTCAAAAATTACTTTTATGTAATAAAAGTAAATACGAATTTTGCATGTTTGCCGTGTTTCATTTTACACATTATTTTTTTAGGCCTCCATTAAAGGGTATAAAACTTTAAGAACACATTCTCAACTAACAGCCTCACTAGATGTAAATAATTCGAATTACAAACAATACTAATCTAAGCATTGTCATCACTTTTAAAATCCAAGTTTCTAAAAGTTTAATTATATACAAAAGTGACCTGATTCACACTATTAGCTGCCCAACAAACTGTTTAAAAAACGAAATATTCTTTGTGAAAGAGCAGATTACAAGAAATGTTTTCTATGCTCTTATTTAAAAAACAAGATTCTGAATATACATAATGAATCTAAATCGAAATTCACAAATGGTGGCTGAAATCTCGTCAACTTTCAGCCCAATACAATATAAATCCACAGTTATAATGCAGAAACAATTCAAAATTAAAGTTTGTAATGGAAATGTCAACAAGTCATAACTACTACACATGACTACTGATGGGTTCCACTATACTTCAACCAGGCACAGCAGATGGGCACATCCGATAGAGGACTGCTTAGAAAATGAAAGCTATCAGAGCTGTAAATAAGGAATACGTCAATATGAACACAGCAGTGCCGAAGCATCCGAGCCGTTAAAAAAGTGAATAAGATGTGATGTAAACACATCTGATAGCTCTCTCTGTAAGCCACTTTCCACTGATTTATAAAGCTATGGTTTTATAATTCTTTTAAAAAGGAAAATTTTTCTACACGGCTGCATGCAGTAATTTCATTGTACATTCTTGACTACAATGCAGTCTTCAAATCCTTGCAGAGCTTGACATATCTCATCAGAATTTCTTCAGAGAGTCAGCTTGTCATATTTTCACAGCATATTCTATTTTCCTGCCAACAGTAGAACATAATTCAGCCACAGTCTGTCACTTTCTCTTTCGTTTTTGTTGAGATGGTATTTCACTCTTGTTGCCCAGGCTTTCGTGCTTCCGTAGCCTTGTGAAGCTCCTTAATAACCGATGATAAAGCTTCTGGGTTAATTCCTTGTTCACAAAGCCGTACACAAATAGAGTTTCCATATCTAAGCCAGTATTCAAAATCCTTGAAATCTCAAGCAGAACGTCCACGGTCTCCCGCACCGCATTCAGAATGCGCCGCCGCCGCCACCCCGGCGCCACTGCTACTCGCCATGACTGAGGCCGAGGGAGGCTCTTTTTCTTAGAATTGCTTTGATTATTCAGGCTCTTTTTGGTACCATGTGAGTTTTAAAAGAGTTTTTATCTTTTAGTTCTGTGAAAAATGTCATTTGTAGTTCGATAGGAATACAATGGAATCTATGCATTGTTTTGGGCAGTATGGCAATTTTAACAATATTGATTTTTTCTGTTCGTGAGCACGGAATGTTTTTCCATTTGTTTGTATCATCGGTGCGTTCTCTGAGCAGTGTTTTGTAGTTCTCCTTGTAGAGATCTTTTATTTCCCTGGTTAGCTGTATTCCTGGGTGTTTTATTCTTATTGTGGCAATTGTGAATGGGATATTGTTCCTGATTTGACTCTCGGCTTGACGGATGTTGGTGCAGAGGAATGCTAGTGATTTCCGCACACACATTTGTGTCTGCACTTTTTGCTAAAGCTGTTTACCAGTTGAAGGAGTTTTTGGCCTGAGACTATGGGGTTTTCTAGATATAGGATTATGTTGTCTGCAAACAGGGTTAGCTTGGCTTTCTCTCTTCCTGTTTGAATGACCTTTATCTCTTCCTCTTGCCTGATTGCTCTGTTTGAGGCTTCTAATGCTAGGAAGTGGAGAGAGGTATCTTGTGCCAGTTTTCAAGGGGAACACTACCAGCTTTTGCCCATTTATTATGATGTTGCCTGTGGGTTTGTCATAGATGGCTCTTATTATTTTGAGGTATGTTCCTTCAATAACTAATTTATTGAGAGCATTTAATACAAAGAGATGTTGACTTTAATTGAAAGACTTTTCTGCATCTATTGAGAAGATCATGTCGTTTTTGTCTTTAGTTCTGTGTATGCATTGCATCATGCTTATGATTTGCATATGTTGAAACTACCTGGCATCCCAGGGATAAAGTCTGCTTGACTAAGATGAATACACTGTTTGATGTGTCGTTAATTTCAGTTCACAGTATTTCG